TAACATCTCTAGAATATTGTACTAAATTCTCAAGTTAATCCCAGTAATATTTTTGGAGGTGCTGCTTCAAAATTTCTTACGAACTACTTCGATCAAGATATTCTTTACAAGGTTTTGCCGCGTAGAATTTTGTTTGTTCAATTACTAGTGTGTAAAAAACAAATAACGTCGAGAAATTTACACCAACCGAGAAATTTACCCAAAATTTGCATGGTTTTATAAAAAAGTCTGCCAAAAATACAATTTTCACTTTATTTGTTTTTTCTCCATCTTCCTATCTAGTTAATGATCTTAGTTCAAACACGAATTTTTTTCTTTTTATACTTTTTACTTTTGATGATCCTTTCAGACGTTCTGCTGTCAACGCGGAAGCAAGGACTGTCGGAAATGACGTCGTAATGACCGAGTTTTGAATATTTTCCTTTGAAAATTTCACAAAATCTTTATCAAAAGTTATCTTCCGAGTGATACAAAGTTTGAATAAAATACAATATTTAATTTTTTATATGAAAAAAAAATTATTGAAAATAGTTTGTTTTTTGCTCGACGAAACCCATGTAACCTCTTAAGTAAAATGCTGGATTACTGGTGGAAATAATTCTCTTAGAAAGAGATCTGTGTCTTTAGGAGTAATGAAATTTGCTGCTCGCAAAATAGTCAGCGCTGAACGAATATAATCTCAAATCGATGTTTTTTTGGTCACTATCACAGATAAAGCCTGAGCATAATGGCGTTGTATAACTAACTTTGTTGTTCTTGCAAAATAATATTTTGGGTTTGTGCATTACCAAATATTTAATAAATGCATTTAATATTTCTAAAATAATGCAAAACATTCTAAATACTTATGTAATCTTAGCTGTGCTCGGCGCGATGCCATCAGCAGCAACTGGTCATTAACACTCGACTTTTCCTTTCGCTTGCACGCCAACACAGTTCTCACTTTGCACGCGCACGTAAAACGGACATTGCATGACCGGCGCGCATGCGCAAGCGCACAATACAGATTACTTGATCAACAAACCAACAACAACCACATTGGCATGCAATGTAAACAAAAGCAACAAACCGCATAAATACCAAACGGAAAGTGAAGCAGAAAATGTGAGTGATAATTGCAAAACAAGAACAACAAAAAGCGCCGTGCTAAAAATACAAACAACAACAACTGGTGCGGTGTGGCGTGGCTTGAACAACAATGTGCGCTTATTACATGCATTGCAAGTTAATGGCTAGTGAGTAGCAGTTGAATTTAGCGCATGTTGTTGTTATTATTCGCACTTTTTTTGCATTTAGTACCTTCTATTGTCGTCCGAAAGCAAAAGTGGAGCAATGAAATGCTGGGTGTGGGAAAACAAATACAATGAAAGTAAAGTTAAACCAAATTGAGCGCTTGCCTCCAGTCAGCGCATAAAGGAAACGATATGGGATAGCTAGCGGCGTGTTGTTGCTAAAACAAACACTTTCGATTTTCATAAACTCATTTAATGATTAAATTTATACACGCTGAACAGGGTATATTAAGTTTGCCATGATGTTTGTAAGACACAAAAGGAAACGTGAGAGACCCTATAAACTTTGTATATAAATGGTCCGAGTGACGAGCTGACTCGATTTAGCTATGCCCGTCTGTCTGAAAACTAGTCTCTCAGTTTTTGAAATATCGATCTGAAAATTTTCACCCGTTCGTTTTCAAGAAACTGCTCATTTGTAAAAACGGTCATTGTCAGACCACTATAGCATATAGCTGCCATACAAACTGAACGATAAAAGTTGTCGTAAAGAATCTTTTGTATTTGTGAAGGGTATACTGAAATTAATGTTGTTTCTTGTTATTGTTTTTTAATTTATGCATAGTCAGCAAAAACTACAAATTTACTACCGCAATTAGCCAGTGCAATAATTTTCCATGGTAAAAAAATTAAAATAACGGTACTCAAGTGCAAACAGTGTTGCGTGTAACAATTAACGCCCCCGAAAAACTCAATCATTCAATTATAGCGCTTGCAACAAAATATAAAAAATATACTACCAGTGTTATTGTTGTTGCTTTGGTTTCTCGCAAGCAAAATCGATAAATAATTATGCTTTTTGGCAGCTAAAGTCAAAACCACCTGTGTCTTGCAGGCTTTTGAGATTTGTGGCTGATTTGCCTGAATTTGTGGCAGCGAATGACCAGGTGAAGTGGCCGCGGCGCCACACCTGTTTCCACTTGCAATTTCGGTCGCTAGCGGTTAATCTGTTTATGCCAATTCGAAAAACACTTCATCGGCAACTTGTTTGCCAGTCAAAAAAAAAAGCTACCAAAAAGAAGCAGAATTCTCCAAATAAATTGCAAAGACTGCAGATCGGAAATTATTCACAATAAACATTTAATTCTCACAGTTCTTTGGCTTTGACTGGAGTTTTGTAGCACCAATTATGCCATTGCTATGAATTATGTGCCAGTGTCTTTCATTCGCCATAAGTTTTTGTTGTTTCCAAATTGGCTCACTTAGATCTTTGTATGATTTGTAAGTTTTGCGTTTAATTTGTTTTTTCTCTCTGTGTGTGTGTGTGTGTGAGTTTTCCCACTGTTGGCAGCAAATAATCTGCGAGAATTTTTGGGTTGGCCCGAAATCGCGGTTGTGCTAACACGAATGCCATCAGCAGCGCGCGATTGCCTTTGACAGCGGTTCGTGGCAAATTAAGCCACACACACACATACACGCGTGCACCCAAATATGCGCTACAAAGTATTTGCGGCTTTCGGTGGGTTCAGCCGCTCGGCGACATAGAGGCACAGCCATCAGCCTACAGCATCAAATATCTGCAATTAATATTTGACTCTTTTTGCATATTTATTCGCAGTTGTGGCACAGATTCTTGCTGCCACTCGTGTGCTTCGGCTGCTAATGTGCTTCATAAGGCAGAATGAGGTCGTAATTAACATTTGTTTGAGCGAAAAGGCTACAAAGCAAAACATGTTTGAAACGTGTGTGCAATTGTCATTTCGTCAGATTGATCATTGCAGCTGTGGCACAATCGTGCCTGTTTGGTGCAACTTGAAAATGCTATATGTCAACGTTAAACCATTGCATATTAAATGTGTTGTTTTTGGGTGCGAAAATTATTTGCTTTCAATTAAAAGTAGTTAGCAATAATTTGAGTTCTAAAGAATTTTTTTTGCTTTCCATTTCAATGAAAAAACCGTCACTTATTAAAATTTATTTATTATTAACATATTACTTATTATTGAATTTATAACCAATTTACAGCTAGCAAAGAAAATCCTTCGCTCGAAAATAAACTCCTGTCAAAAGCACAGTTGACCATTCCCACATTTTCTAATTACTAAACAACTAAAGTCAAGCGGTTTGCGGTCTTTCATAGTTACAGTAGCTTAAACTGCTGTGTAACCTTCACTATTTCCACAAATACCAAAAATATAGCAATAATTTTATATTGCTCATCATTTACAACTTGTTTGTCCTCACCGTGCCGCTGTTGTAACTAAAGACTTAAGCAACGAACTTGCCCGCATATTGCACCAAGCTGGCAATGAAGGTGAGCTTTGATGACCGAAAAATTATTTATTATCAGAAGATTATGAAAAATTATTATGTTCTTTATTTCAATAGCAGCAAATTATGAATGTGTAATGTTTGCTAGCAGAAGATGTGAAGAAGAATACACGCAAATACAATGGAAAGGCCAGATTTAAGCAATGAAAATTGTAAAGAAATATATAAATGTAAGTTAATTTATTGCACAGATGCACAGAAAGAAAAATTATTAATTTTCTAAACCAGATTTTTATTACAGCTCAATTGTTTACAAAATGATTTCAGCTGCATTTTTATTTTTATTTTAATGATTGATCAATTCGATTTAGTGTAGCACAAATGATTAATAATTTTATTAAATATTGAAAAAGTTAAAATATTATTGAATGATAATCCAATTCATATATTAAGTTTAGTCTGTCTGTCTGTTATTCCTAAACCTCGCACACTCACTTCAAGAAAGGAGCGAGGAAGCGAATGTGTTCGCGAAAAATAAATTTGTTGAATAAACTTAAGGCCATCTTAGCATATTCCTATAAAAAGCAGTTAGCAGAATCGAAAATTTAATAATATCAATTGGCTACAGAGAATATTCTATATTATTTTTCGTTGTATATATTTTTTTAGCAGATTTTGCAATATTTCAATAGCAGCAATCTAGCTACTGAAGTTAAACATTGTTTGGAGTTCCGAAAAAAACGCCGCAACTCTGTTTGTCTCTCTCAATTAATTTCTTTTAGCTGATAATCATGCCATTTTAATTTAATATCAACAATTATACGAAAGATTGTTATGCATTATGATAAAAGAAGCAAAGAGGCTGCTATAATTTACTATACAATATTATACTAAACAAATTATAAATTCGGGCTTTTATATATAACATTTCTGCTATAAAAAAAAAGTGCATTTGGTTGAATACTTTAAATTTGTTATGAGCTCATTTATAATGTTCAGAATTTATTGTAAAAGTTCCAAAATGTCTAAACTTTATTGTAATAGTAGCTCTTTGGAACTCAAAACCCAACAACACCAAGAGAAGCATTAACAAAATAGACGGCATTAAGTTGAAGTGGCGGTAGAGTGAGAGGACTTTGGTCCCGGTTCTATCACAATGGGCCTAGGTGTGTCGAAAGACAAAAGAGTGGCTACCTTACTAACTACCTAGCTGAAGTTGCTTGGAGTCGCTGCATGGGCCTATACGTACTATGTAACTGTTTTACGCTAGTAAATTGAAAAATAAAATATATACTATTTAAAAATTGGCAAAAATATTTTTCAGCACAAAGTAAATAGACTTATCATCCATCGTAGAAAACTCTTTACTATGAGCTTCAATTCCCAATTTTAACATAATTTTCTTAAGAACTTTAAACTCCCAGCACTTTAGTACACTTCTGTTTTAATTAGAAACAATTTATGTCATTCGTAATATTTGTAGTATATTTTACCAACTTTATCAATGGTCTTAGTTGTCTCTCACTCACTGAACGCTATAGTTTTTTTTTCTGCTGCCGCACAAGTAAAATCAATTTAATTATTCACTTTCAATAAAAATTATATTTCTAAGTGACTTTTTGCCCATAGCAAATGCAACACAAAAGAATTTTTTTCACAAAATACAAATGGGAGTCAAACTTGCGACACTACAACACTTTCCACTGCCGCATATATTTATTGTTGGACAAAAAGCACGAGTGTGATATGCGTGCCACTTAAGTTTCTCACTTCGTCAATGCAATTTTCTATGTTTCTCCGTTTGTGTCAACTGTCTACAAAAACAGAATCGTTGGATGTTAAGCGCAATCAAAGAAAAACACGCATTTCACTTTGTCGATGGCTTTCAATTAGGTTGCGCATGCGTCAGCACCGCTTGACGAGATGACACGGCGTGCCAATCAATGAACTCGCGACACAAAAGGAAAAAAATCTCAAACAACACCGTTAAAATACTGTAGTAAAAGCAGAGGCAACACTTCTTCACAAATATTACCGTTGTTCGGGTTTACGCGTGCGCGCCGACTTGCTGGCAGACAGGTAATAACGGTGCGCGTACAAAAATAAATCGTTGGATTGCTCTGTGATATCGTTGAAGTAAAACTCGTTGCTTTAGCTGGCGCGCTGCTGTGTTGCTTACACTTGAAGGTTTCGTCGCAGACTGACGGAACGTCGCGCGAACGGGTATTCATGCGCGAAACTAACCGTAAGCAAGCGCGCTGATTTTTGCTGCTTTTGCTTTTTCTACAAAAATGCGCTTGGAATGCTTTTGTTGCTATAGTGAGCGTCTAAGCTGTTGACAGCCGCGCACAGTTGTTGTTATTGGCAGTTTTTGTATATTGTTTGTTGTTGTCACCAAAGCTCATTCAACGGCAACCTGTTAGTTCGAAAGAGTGTTTTTGCACACGAACGGCTTGAATGTGTATGTGTGTATATTAGCGCATGAGCGCGCGTGTGTGTGTATGCAAAGCGCACCCAGCCAACAGCGCGGCATCTGAAAAGCACCTGTGCCATTGCAGGCGCGGCAAGTAAATCACCAGCGCCGACTTAAGCTCACCCTTGCGCTCACACGCGCATGCGCTCGCCATCGTCGGCTGCTCTCTGCGGCAGGCGCTTAAAAAGCTTTGTTGTTTGCATCTTGCAACAGCACTGCGTTGCTCTCGTGGTTTTCTCCACCGGCCGCTTAGGCTAGGTTTGAGTTTTTTCGATCGTCTTGTTGTTGTTGCTCCCTTCTTTTCGTTTTTGTGTGTGGTATGTGGTTGCTGCGCTGCCTGCATGTAAATAAACCGCATTGTTGCGCTGAAGTTGACAGCGCGTTCATATTTGAGGTCGTTTCTTATGTGCATTCTAGAAGCTGGCAAACCTGTCAAAAACCTCGCTAAAATTTATGTTTTCTTATTTGATTGGAGTTGCGTAACATTTACTGGTTCTGATCAAATTTATTAGGCCTAGCGCAATCGAGTTTATGCAATGCGTTAATATATTTTGTCACTTTTTGGTGCATATTTATTTATGGTCGCAGGCTTGTTTTATATTACTATATAAATATTTTACTAATTGGTGAAGCTCGGATATTGATTTCGTTATTAGAACTTTTTCTACCAGGCCATTTTCCATGAATACCTCGTGATCCTTCTTTACTTTCAAGTTAACCTCGATTATATAGATACTGTGTCACCTATGTGGGTTGGCGCGGACTAGTGGGGCTGGGGCACAGTGAGCTTTTCACGGATGAATCAAAGCCGGGGAAGAGATAAGTCGTTTGCCATGAACTCTGCATTTAACTCTAGTTTCAGGCTTTCAGAACACTACAGCGTAATTCAAGGCGACTGATATTAAGAAAACAGATTTGATCTCTTACTATTATACATTTAGAGTGCAGTGAATGTCTAAAGACAATCGGAAATATATATCGTTTCCTCTGGTTCAAAAGCAAGGTGAGACATCTCCTGCTAAAATGCAAAATATATTTTAATTTTTAAATGTTGATTGTGGCAAGCGAACTCATAAAAGACTTAAGCGACAAACTTGTATGGAACTGTAGATAGTTCTCAAAAAAATTTATAAAAATTTATTAACTGCAATTGCTTAAGCAACAATTACATGCCATTAGTTTTACGTATTGTTACGAAGATAACCGATGGACTTCAATTACGCCTCATTACGCCTACAAAACCACAAATATTTCACTTGTTATACACACACTTAACAGCAACAATAACTGGCGCTTGTAAGATTGCCCTTAACATCTAAAGCCAGCAAGTCTACTACAAGTCACGCTTTAAAAGCAGCATCACATTTCGTCCAAGTGCCATCTATGCGCCCAAACAAGAATCGCCTTTGAGCTGCCAATTCTACGGACAGCGCGAATGAGTGGCACAGAAAACAGCAAAAACAAAATCACGGCCGATGCAAGAATAATGACATTACAAATATGTACAAAAGCTACATTTAACATTCAACTTAACACCCTGCACCGAGCATAAACAAAACGATTGTTGTTCACCATTTCGGCTTCATAGAATTAAATGTGAAAAAAATGCAACAAAAAAAATAGAAGAATCTGTGTGTGTTTGTAATTGAATATAAAGGCAGCAAGCCGTTTGGTTCAAGGCAGCACAGCGGGACAGGTTGTTGAACAAACCCCATAATTTTACGTTCAAAATCACTACAGGCACATGTAAGCGCATGTGCGTTTGTGTGTGTCCGTTATTAGAACTTTTATGTATTCTTCGAGTGCCTTCACACTAGCGCATATCACTTTACAACTTGTACGTGCTCATGTTATTGTTATTATATTAATTGTTGCGACAAGTGTGTTGGTAGCTCGGCGTTTGACTGAGTCGGTGCAATATGGGGCGTTGAAGCGCGTCTTTGCTTTGGGCGAATGAGTGCACTGTGCGTGGGTGTCGCAGACACTCTGCAAACAAAGGCGACGTTTCTTGCAGAGGCATACATAATTGATTGTTTTTGCATTATTTAATTATGCAGAAATGCAACTTCAAATGGCAAGCGGTATATGATTTTTAATAAATTGGTCAGAAGGAATGCATGACAAGGTCGAAGCCGCGCAGAAATTGTGGCGGAATAAGAATTCAAAGTATGCGACGTGGAACGCCTTAAATTAATGACTTAAATAAACTTAATATTGTAGCAAGCGTATAAATGCTATGGATTTATATTTTTTTGTTTTTATGCTTCACAACATAGTTATAACTTGAAAGCAAGCGAATGCCAAAAAGGTTATTACTTTATTGTGACGAATTTAGGCAAATTAATTTTATAAAAAGGGTCTGTAAATTGCTCACTTAAGCCACGTTATTTGTTGTGGGGACCATGAAGTCAATCATTTATGTTGATAAACCGACTAGGACTGATCGGTAGAAAATCAACATTCAACCACATTGATTATTGGCAAAATAAGGACAATAATGCTGGAAAATGAATGCAAATTGAGACTCGATCTTCCTAGTATACAGTTACAGAGATACAAGCCTAAAATGTTATTCAGAAACAAACGAAATAAAATTTGCGAACTAATAAGTCCAAATGTTGCCGACTCACTCATTTTTCTAGAGAATCCGAATACAAGCCAAATTAAGAAGCGTTTTTTTTTATTTTTAAATAATTTATCAACTCCAGCTCATTTGCTTTTCACGACAAACATGTTTAGCTTGTTGCCAGACATTACGACACTGCGTTGCTGTGGCTGGATTCCAACCAACAAGAAGAAGTCAGGATGCAAGCATGAAAGTTGTGCACCAAACTCACTGTCAACATTTGAGGCTTCGCTTTTCACGGCTTACATAAACCGTGACGCTCTTTGGCTGTTGTGCCATTTTTCGGTTGACCAAACAAACGTTCACTTTTCGCCACAACGGGTCCAACATCCTGTCAGCGGCTTTTATTTGGCTCGTCTGGACTTGGTCTGTGCCGGCAGAGTTCGACTGTGAATGTTGCAGCTGTTTTTCTGTAAATGTCATTGAGTGTACATGCGTGTGTGTGTGGAATTTGGTTTGGGACGCGTGCAGCAAGCTGCTTGACCACTTTCATTGCCGCTGCTCGCCAGCCATGCTCTTGCGAACTTCGCTTGAACAAACACTTAGCGCCTGCATAACGCTGCCCGCTTAAGCCGTCTTTCGATGCTTAGCCGGATTCCAGTGAGTCTGCCATTGCTAGCTGCTGATTTCGTGTGCGGCTAAGCCGAGCCAGTTGTCATCAAGTTGTCTGCAATCGCAACTCTTATATATAATTGGTATTACACACACACAGAGCGCTGTGGCTTTTTGTGCGGTTGACGGTTGACAATTCCAAATGAAGAATTCACGTTAAAATGAGCGACAGAAGTGTGTCATCCATTTCTGGCTGCGCACCGACTTTAAAAGTGACAGCTGAACGGCGTCAAAGATATCATAACTATAGCGATGATTGATGTACGTCACCGTCACATAAAGCGGACGCGGAAATGCAAGTAAGAATTGGCAAGAAAGTGAAGCGCGACAAAAAGCTTTTGAATACTTTTACTAAACAAGCGGAACCTCTGTTAGTTTCTGCAATTAGGCGTGGAGGTAAAAAAGCGCAGTCGAAAATAAGCGCAGTTGCTTTTTGGCGTGGTAACTGTTGCCTGAATCTGCTAATAAAGTTCAAGGTCTCAACAATAGTGTTCTGTTTGTCGTTTATATAAATAGTAGTATTAGATTTCTCCACCTTATAATTTCTATCCAGTTGACTCCAACCACACATTTTTCACTTTGTTTTAATAAAAAATCCTGAATTACTCAATCTGAGTATTATCATACTGGTAATGAAATGTTTACTGCCTTTTATAATGGAAAATATTTTAGGGAGTTGCCACCTGATTTAAAAGTAAATTTTTTTGTAACAAGATTTTGTCTTATAGCATTGTGTTGGTAGGAGACTTGAGTAAAAATATAAACTGCTACGGCGTTGCCACCCTAAAAAAATTTTTCAATACTTTAAAGTTACTTTAATATTTAAAATATCAGTATTAGATAATATTTTGTGCGTTTTTGTTACAAGGAGTCGTGCTTGAGTTGAATTAAAAATATTCCTTTCCATTCGAAAGTTATGTTGTTCGTGGCTCAAAGTTTATAGCTCTGTTTGAGACTTATAAGAGCAGATGTCTCAAAGGTTAAGTGGATAAGTTTTCCATTATTTCATAAGAGCTTTGAAAATTATTATTTTTTTCTTTTAAGTTGATTTTGATTTATACTATCGATCTTCAACAGTTGACACTCTCTATCACTTACTTTTCGTGTATGCTTTTTTAATATTTTTTTTGCCTTCTTAATTGCTGTATTCGCAGGTTGCCTCCACCTCTCGTTTTATCGAACTCTTGAAAAACATACAAAGTTTTGAATTCAGCCAATAAGCTAATTATACCAATACATAGGTATAGAAATAATATTAAGCGCTGCTTGTCAAGAAAAGTCACTATGCTAATGTACCATCTTTTGCTATTTGCTACTATTTTACCATATATTATGATTGTTTATTGCTAATGCCAACAAACGACAAGAAATACTCGTCGGCAAGGTGCTTGAATTCATCGCATGCATGGATGACATGCAAAGCCACTGCCAAACCCTGAATTCAGCTTTACCTCATGCGGAATTTCTGCTAAATTTTATTTTCATCATTATTCTTTGCAGTTTAA